TATTTTCAGTATCAATGTGCAGTCCCAGGCTCAACGAGCATCAGCCTCACTGAAAGCAAAGTGGTGACAGCGGTTAGTCCAGCAAATAGAAACCTTCTGACTCCCCCACTTCACCCACTGTCTAAATGCATACAGCTCCATCCTGGATGTGATTTTCCCTCATTTTTAAAATCAATTTGTGATGTATACTATCAAAGTCTATGTCAGCATTTATTGCCCATCCCATTGTCCTCCTTGAGAAAGTGATGGTGAGTTGCCTTCTGGGACTTGCAGTCCTTGTGGTGTAGGATCACCCACAATGCTGTTAGGGAGGAGTTCCAGGATTTTGACTCATTGACAATGAAGGAACAGCCAATATGGAGCAGCATGATATTCAAATCCCAGTGACTCCATTAGATCTTCATGTGAAGGTCATTTTGAGACTTCTGTCTGCAAACCTTCCTTTCTAACATCCTGTTAATGAGAATGGTGTGTGATATGGAGGGGAGCATGCAGGTGGTAACAGTCTCATGTAACTGCTGCACCTGTTCTTCTGGATGGTAGAAGTTGCAGGCCGGTCTAGCAGCTCAAATATTGCAGATTAACCGCAGATCCAAGTCCTATGATCATTTGTGAACGTTCTTATGCTTCCACAGACTGGATGACTGAGTGAATCCGATGACTGAGTGAATCCTTTCCCACATTCAGAACGGATAAACAGCTACTGCCAGTATGAGCCTGGTGTTGTTTCTGTAGTGTAGATGAACCTCTGAACTGCTTCCCACACTCGGAGCAGGTGAATGGCCTCTCTCCACTGGCAGCACGCTGCTGTTTCCGCAGAGCAGATGGATCAGGGAATCTGTTCCCACACTCAGAACAGGTGAACGGTCTTTCCCTGCTGTGACTGTGTCGATAAAACTCCAGCGTTGACAGGGAATGAAATCCTTTCCCATGGTCCTCACATTTCCATGGTTTCTCCATTTCATGTGCAGCTTTGTGTCTCTGTAAGTTTTACAGCCAGTTGAATCCTTGTCCACCCAGAAACACTGGTATGGTCTCTTCCTACTGTGAACGGTGCAATGTTTCTTCAGGCTGGGAGATTGGATGAAGGTATTCAGTTCACGAGAAAACTCTCACTTCGGTGTGTATGCCTCAGTACTTTTCCAGACAAACTGATGTTTCAAATATTTTGAAGCAGATCGAACAGACAAATATTCTGGATCTATGGTTTCAAGCCAAGGATATTCAAGTGCCAGTTATTCACGTGATGGTCGTTTTAAGATTGTTGGGTAAATCTTGCCTTTTTAACATAATGTAAAAAGAGATATAAAATTCATCACGATTAGATGAGAAATTCGGTGAGAAATTCAGAACAGCCAAATCTAAGTGATCACCATTTCTTTTCCTGGACTCTCTCCCAGACTTCACTTCCTTTCCTTTCAGTCGCTGCAAGTAAATAATTTAACAACAGAATTTAAAAAAAAGAAATTGGGAAAAATTGCTTGCACACAGGTGATGGACAGAGGAAGAATTTAAGTTCAGTTCAATCTTCTTCCAGACAGAGCAGCAGCAACAGTTTCGCTGGACTGTCCCGCATTTGTGCTCAGACAATAGGGGAGCTCTAATTAGCTGGAGGTCAAGCTTGCTTCCAGTCCTCTGGAGGTCAAGCTTGCTTCCAGTCCTCCAGCTCTTTCTGTTAGTCACATTACAGAATTACGACACAATTGGAGTGGAACACGGATCCACGTGGGGAAGCAGCTGCCATGACCCCATGACGATTGAAACCTTCTGCCAATAGAAAAAGAGGGTGTTGTGATCACGAACCAATCATTTAACGAGACATGTTCCCGTCCCAAAAAAAATACCCTGAACACGTGCGAATCCCGGTTTCCCACCCACGTGGAGCCTGCCACATGACCCGCATTGACAGGGATTGTGGGAGTTGTAGTCCCCATGAAGCCTCTGGAGCTCTGTCTCTTGAAGGTAGATGAAAAGAGTGGGGCAGAGGGTGGTTGGAACAGGATCCCCATCCAGACACACAGGATATGTGGGCCGTCATTGATTTTACCGAGACACCCTGCTTAGCCAAAACGTTTTCTGATATCAGTCATAAAGACTTAGGGTTGGAGCAAGTTACTGTAGATGCTGGAATCAGTACTGAAAATACAAAGTGCTGGAGATCACAGCAGGTCAGTCAGCATCCGTGGAGCGAAAGGAAGCTATCGTATCGAGTCTAGATAACTCTTCAACAGAGCTAAAGTGATGTGTGAAGGAGTGGGTGGGCTGGAGTTTGAGGGGTTGGTGTGCCGGGGGAGAAAGGATGTTGATAGTTCAGATCAAGCCCCAGAGGGAATG